TTTTGAAAGATTATTTATCAAATTAAAGCAAAAAATACATGCCTATTAAGTATGCCTTCAGCTTGAAAGGGCTCAGATATATGTAGCCCGACTATTCATATTAATTTTATTTCATTCCTTTTTTTTTACTTTCTTTCTTTGATGTTTTTTTCTTCTTTCTTCCTCTCTCTATAATTAAAACAACTAATTTTGGACCCAGCTGAAGTCATGAATGAAAACAATACACTGCGAAAGATTTTTGTTGCTTTGAAATAAATGCACTTGAATGTTAACTTGCTCAGGCTGAGCTGACAAACATAACCTCCAGAGTCGCCACTAAAATATATATATATATATATATATATATATATATATATATATATAATATAAAATTATTTATTTGAAAATTATAATATAAAATCACTACAAAAATAGCCATTTTGTTTCGACACTTCTGGTGTCTTAAGTGATCATGTTGAATAAAGGGTTTTAAAAGGTTCAAATCGATCAAACACACTTCGCTAAGGGCTTACGCTGTTACATAAGCTGGAATGACCAATCAAAATACAAGTATAAGAGAATTCAAAAAACTTGACAACGAACTAAGGTTATAATAATTATTTAATGCTTTAATGTTGGGGTTAGACTAAAATAGAATTTATTCTAACTAATAAATATTAAATTATATGATAAAATTTGAAATTAAAAATTACCCATTTTAAAATTTAAATTTAATCTATATTAAGTTTAAAATTACTGAGGAAAAAAAGAAATGCATATGTTATTCTATTTTGTTTTTATTGAAATTGGAATAAACGTTAAGATCAAATGTTGCTCCGAACTTCATGACAACATAGATACATTTGAAGCATAAACAGAGGCAGGGGAGGATGACATGTTGCAAACAACAATACATACACAATCAGATTATAATACATAAACACATAGACGTATTTAGATATACACACACACACACACACAAAAGCGACGAGACAGGAAATATCTCCATGACCCTTTAAAAAAAAGAAAAACACAGCATACATACACAATGAAAGGTACACACACAAGTGACCAGACACACACACCAATAAAGACATGTACATACACACACACATATACATTGACAAATACACACCATTACACCAGATGTGTGTGTTGTTCAATAGAATTTTAAAACCAAAATTTTCGCTATTTTTAATCAGTAATATCCCAAAATATTTTAATTAGAATTTGTCTTACTGATGTTCTTTTGTATATGGCTGCTCAGAAAGTAACCAAACCCACTGCTTGCTGATACAAATCATTTATTACTCTGTTGCCCATTTTTTAATCTTTGGATCAATTGTGTGTTACAGATATTTTTTATTTATTTTTTCTTTCTTTCTTAAATCTCTCAGTATTTATTTTCCATATATGATCACATGAAAATACATTGGCAGCATGCCTCTCTTTCTCTTTTTGAGTCTATGGTGTTACTAACAAGCACTACGCATAAACTCACACCGAATTAACCTTTGCAAGAATTCTAGTTTTGAATATCTATTATATTTAAGGAATTTTTCAGGGCTGAGGTTTAATTTGTAGGTTTTGATCCCAAAGTAGTGCCTCCTATTTTATTCCTTTGGCCCACAATGCCAATCTGTTAGAGAGAGCAAAAGTAGAGGTTGAAGCTTCCTGCCCATGCCTCCTCTCACGTTTTTTCTCTCTCTCTCTCTCTCTCGTTGCCTTGTATAGAGCAGCTAATTGGTATAAAAGTGGTTTTAGATGACAATGCTACATCAATGAATACCTCCATGTAGAAAAATAGAAACTTACTCTAACCAACAGCATTATTGTGCTCCCCTCTAATCTGTTTGGCTTCTGTGGAAATAAATAGGAGGCATTCATTTGGAAATTAAAATAAATGACTTCTTAAAATGGAAGCTTAGGAATTTTTGGTGCTATGGTTAAAAATTGCATTACTATTGACTTTATTTTTTGCTAATGATAACTTTAATTTTGGTTTGATAAAAATTCTGTTTATTATTTTATTTATTTTTTTTTTTTTCTGCTTGTCTAACCAAAATTAGATCATGTTGCATTTGGGTTGACTAGGCAGTAATGTGAAAACCTTTTCAAAAATATTTCTTTCTTTGGTGACATATTTGTTTTGATAGTTTTTCAACAAGATAAGTTAAACACTTTGAGAAAACTCTGGGACTACACACTCATTGTAAAGCCAAAGTGATGTTTAAATTTTAATTTTTTCAAGTTAATGTTGTTTATCTTAGATGGTCAATGAGTAATCAATGTCTGACATATAATTTGCCAGCAATTTTTAACTTTCTGCCGTGTTTTTGTTCTTGTTTTTTTTTTTTTACTTGTTTATCTTTATATGAAAAGAGATCTGAAATTAAAGCCTTATTAAAAGAAACTGTTTTAATATTGTATTTATTTTATAGGATAAGTGCACATCATATTTTCTTTTTTTGCTTGCAAACAGTTGGTTGGCCTCTCGCCTCCCAAAATGGTAATGTCTTAACATTTTAAGGAACTTCCTTTTAACCTAGAAAATAAACTAGTCACTAGCAACAAGATTATTCCACCCATATTTTTTGTGTTGATCAATTGGAACTGGGTGAAGTAATTGCTTACTTTCTGTGAATTAGGAAAAATATTTTATTTATAATTCACCTCTACCTTCTAGATATTTGATATTTTTTCATAATATAAAAATAGTTTAAAAGAAGTTTTACTGAAACTTTTAAACATTTAACTGCTAGCCACACAGGATGTTAAGTAGCCTAGAGGTGTGAGTGTCCATAAAGTTAAAGCTTGTTAACCCCCAAATCTGTGGTATTATATCAATTATAATTTTTTTCTGTTGAGCAGTGTAAGCAAGATTTGTTAGTTTTGGTTAGTAACTGTAGTCTTTGTTTTGAATTAGTTTTGTCATTGAAAGTTTAAAAATGGACACAACTTTTTATACAATCTCCATTTCAGTTCAATGTCTAGGGATATATCAGTCAAGATCATTTATTTTTCTTTGCACATCATGGCAATTAATGATATTTAAAAATAATTACTTTGACTATTATTGTTAGTGCTTATCCTTTGTAGGTTGTTACAATGGCTGTTTTAAAATGATTGTATATTGGTTATTTTGTGCTACATTCTTCTGTTTTTGGTAATCTAGGTAATAAAAGAAAATAATTGTTAGGTCAAGCAATAGAGATGGTATATTTGAGTTATCAATTTGTACTATTGAAACCCTGGTAACTGAGTTTTTTGGGGGTTTTTTTTCTGTATCACCCCTTGTAAGACTACTAAGAGACAAAGGTTTACTTGGTGTGGAAGAATTAGAACTGAAACATTAATGAGTGGGAAGTTAAAAGTAATCAGGAGGACAGTAAATAGCAATAGACATTGCATTTAAATTTTTGCAGATTAATGTTGACTGGAAATCATGGAGTCACAAGTGAGAAAGAATTTACAGTTACATCTAGCAAGCTTAACTATGAATTGTTGAGATCTCGATGCCAGTTTATTACTGCAGTGTGATATAAAATGCAGTGCCAAATTGCAGTGTTGTACTTTGTGTGTGTGTGTGGGGGGGTAACGCTCATTGCTTAGTCCTTTGCGCTGACTTTTTATAAATCACTGAATCAAGGTGATGGGTTTTGGGGGCGGGTAGGAGTTAGTCTTGTAAGCATTGATTTGACAACTAAAGTTTTGGTTAAACTGGCTTCAAGTCCTATTGTCATTTCCTATAGCATTTCTGTGCATGCATTTTTGGCATGTATAGATATTGAAAAGAAAAACTTTCTCAAGAAATGCTTTCTCCGTCTGGAATTTAAAATTTTGACAGTGTTTCTTAAAAAAAATGTCTAGTATTAGAAAAAATAATTGTATTATGGAAACTAACAAAAATTGATCTTTTGTCTGACAACATTGGATGCATGACTTCAAATTTAATTGAACCTGCTGAATAATTTTGGATTGATTGGATAAAATGGTTTCCACTCCATTTTGAAATTTTTAGAATCTTTTCAACAACAAATCTCATCAATTTAATATAAAGATATTTAGTCTCGCTCTTTACTACTTAACTAGGCTAAGAAGTCATTGTCTTTGTTTATTAAATCTGATTTGGCTTTAAAAGGTTTACAGACTAATTTAAAAAGAGCAGGAAGCAATCCTTGCTTTTTGCCAAAGAATGTTTATACAAAATAACAATGTACTGTTGTGATCTCTTTTCTCTCCTTTTTAATGGATTTTATGTATGTGCATATTAATTTATTTTATAAATTGATTTAGCAAAATTGGCATCAGTAACCCAAAATTCTTTTTAAATTATATAAGAAAATTAATTAAATTTTTATAAACTTTATATTAAATAAAAAGTGGAGTATTTATACTGAGATGATTTAAAAAAAAAAATAGCAGCTTTAGTTTAATAAAAGCTGGAGATATCTGTCTATATTTCTAAGATGAGGTATTGGAACTATTTATACTATTTACATTTTTGGACTGTTGTCCTCATCTTTATTACCATATTCACAACCTAGAACAATCTACCCTGGGGATGAAATAAGATTCAGTTTGAAATTCCAACATATATCACCTGAAGAACAACAGCTGAAATGTGAATATGACAATGTAAATAGTGTAAAAGCTGAAGATATTTAATTTTTCTTCCTTATTGTTTCAATTACATGGAGCATTTATTATATAGCAATTCTCCTTGTTTGGAGTAGTAGTGGGGTGGGGGAGTTGGGTTGAAATTTTTCCTATTTTTGACAACAGGGAACTGATTACTGACTTGGTTTTTTTGTTTTTTAAAGGACTATGAAATTTTTTACTTCACATAAAATTCCTAGAGGCTGTTCTAAGTGTTATTAATTTGTAATTGAAGAGCTGATTAAAAGCAGTTTCAATCTATTTTAAATGTCTGACAGTTTTTCAGGTTTTTGTATATAATTGAAAAATGTTTCATGTTTCTAAAATGTAACTTTTTTTCCATTTTAAATTTCTCTTTACAGTTGGGCAGACAAATCGAAAATCCGGTCATATCTTGTCCCGTGTAACTCCAAATCCATCTCCTGCAGAAAGTGACCTCTCACACAATAGTTCAGATGGTAACAGTGAATTTGAAGAAGCTTTGAAAAATATCAAAGCCTTAAATGGACAAAGTCGATATAGTGACAACGAAGCTGAAGAAAAGTCAACTTCACCTTCTTCTGCCGAAAAATCTTCTACAGACAAAAATGTATTTGATATGAAATTAACATCCGAGGAGAACAACACGCCCGATTCTCTCTCGTCGAATTATACAAAAAAGTCAGAAACGCCAGTCGACTCGGAATCGGTTTCCAAACTCAAGACAAATTTGGGAAATTTGTTCAGCAAAACTTACTCAGGCTCCATTGTGGACAAACAGCAAAAAGTTTTCTGTGAGGATGCTGATAGTGATTCCAATGAACTTACATGTGATAAGGCAGACTTACTGAAAGACAAAAAGGACCCTGGGAAAGATAAAAGTAGCCATTTAAATCATTTGAACTCCCCGTTTGAGAAAAGTGTTAATCAAGCCATCCAAGGCAATGGAGACCATTGCAAAACAGAATCAGTGGTGTCCCATCTGGGTTCGGCTGAGAAAATAAGGGATTCTTTCAAATCTTTCTTGCAAAAGAATTCTTATAATAAAATGTTGTTAAAAAAGAAGGACGACACAAATGTGCAAAGTGTAACATCAACAAGTGATTCTCAGTCGGTTTCGAAACTAAGCAAAACGAGTTCAGTGCGTGGAAATTTGTTTGAAAACTTTGAGAGTATTGCTTCTCCAGAAACGGAGGCAAAGAATTATGATGATGATGATGAGGGTGAGGAGGAGGAGGATAGCAGGCAGAAGGAAGAAACAATCGATTGCAAAACCAAAAGTAATGGTCAAGCAGGTAAGTTGATGTCCAACTTTTGAAGTAAAGTGACTGACACAATATTTCTTACTTAGAGGGAAAATAAAGTGACAGCAAATGTTGAACTTGCTATAGAAAATTGGGAATCTTTATATAAATCTATAAAACAAACAAAAAAAAATCAGTGTGTTAAAAGGACTGTTATTCCCTCGACTTTGCTGTTACACTTTTGACTCCCTCGGCAATGTTTATTGACAAGATTATAAAAATATGTGAACCAAGTACAATACAATATTTATTATTTACCTTTTATAAAGTTTATTATTTACGATTTTGAAATTAAATTTCTTTTTATCAAAAATTAAAAAAAAAAAAAAAATTACAAAAATTATCAAAACATGTAAACCAACTATGCAATATTTATGATTTACCATTTTATAAATAGTTATGAAAACAATGTTTTATTCTTCTAAAATCTAAAAGAATGTTTGCTTCAGAGGAAGAGATGCTTGCTCTCAACCTATTTTAGTGAATTTATGTGGCAAGATCTAATGAAAGAAATGGCTGAAACATTGTGATAACATCAGAGGATAATAGTTTGCATGCGAATAGGGAAAAAATCTACTTTGGCACATTTTTGCATGCCTTTTAAATAGTCGTTCAAGAAATGAGATTTGCAATGTCAGAGATCCAAAATTATATTGCAGTGTTCACATTTGTATTTTCTAACCCGTCAGCTTTTAAACATTCAAAGATGATTTGGAAAGAATAAAAAAAACAAACAAAAAAAAAACCCAAAACAAAACACTTTTGTGATGATAGTGAAGTTGTTGTCACCCTGAGAATGTTCTTGTTTGGTGGCTTCTGCCATCACCACCAACGGCAACAATGCCTGGTGGTTGTTTCATTGACTACTTGGTATTTGTGAAAGTGATTAACCTATAAAAGCCTTTGCCACTTATTACAAAAATACAAGTAGTAGTTTAAGGAATGTTCTGAAAAATCTCCTCTAAACACTTTGTACCTATGTGCCTACATAAATCACTTTTGAAAGCATCCTTTTTTTTTCTTCTGTTTCTGCTTCTTCATTTAAGTTAGTTTTTTCATTTCTGAATTTCATTTTTCCATCAGACACTGCCATTTTTTTTTCATTATGTAAAAAAAAAAGTCTTTCATATAAATATAAGCATGAAATGAAGACATTTTCTCAAACGTTTCTTCCTCCCACCACTACCACCACCAATGATCTATTGAGAAGGAAATGTTTTTGTTGTTATTTTGTTGTTTGTCCTTTTTGACCAATTCATTAAATTATCAAGAAACTTTTCATTATGTAAAACTCAAAGGATCACTTCAAAAGTTATGCCTCCTATTTGATTGGCAGTAATGGTTCAACCTTCCTCCCAATAACCCATAATATTTTATTTTTTTTAAAAAAAACATTTTTTGCCTTATTAGATCTGACAAAATTGCATTTTACATGCACTTCTATTTGATACACTGTTGTAACCTTGAATTTCTCAATGCAGGAAAAAATGGCACCTTTTGGCCTTCATTGATACTTGGCTGCACAAATAAGATTAAGCAATGGCAACAAAGATGTGTCTGACAGTCTACATTCTTGATGACCCTGCACAACTGATATTCATTAGTGGCAAAAATGGTGGCAACTATGTGGAAAATAATTGCTTTGTAATTGATAACTTACTCTATTAGCAATGTCAGTGAGCTTTTTGTATAGACTGTAGTCTCTGCAGAAATGAATTGGAAACCTTATTTTCAGTGTCTGCTGTGGTTGCTACTATGGGACAGAAATACTAAGATGGTAAGATTACTCAATGTAAAACATTATTGACTGCTTGCTTATTTTAACTTGATTCTGTATTAGTGAAAACCTGGTTTATCCAAGCTAGCATAGCATTTCTAATAAGGCTTACATAATATAGATGCAAACATGATTTAACCACTCTTTTTAGATTTCTGTTTTATCTAGAGTGTGCTGATGAATGTTTTTGAGGTCATGATCAAATGATGTTTTGTTTTGTATCTCCAATCTAAGAATGGAGGCAAGATTGCATTATTAACCACCAATTCTTTTATTGGATAAATGGATAGTTCTGTTCATTGTGTATATTTGCCAATGTGAAAAAAAGATCTATATTGAGAAGATTGAAGAATCCTAGAGCTGAGTTTGAATTTCAGTTGAGTTCATTAAATTCTCATGCTCATGTACTTGGGAAAGGTTTGAATCCATTTTAACCTCTCTCTCTCTCCCCACCCCCACCACAAATTCTGGGTAATTAGCAGAGCAAATTGGGACCTTTAGCTTTGGTTGGCAATCAGTCTAAGAAAAGGAAAACTCTGAATTCAAACCAGGGTGGGGGGCTTCATCAGGCTGTGGCTGCAGTCAGTGTGGTGCTCCTATGACCCTCAGGGGTTATGGGTCTCACAATTGTGAGTCTTTTTACTTTCTTCCCATTTTGGGATATTTTTCTTTGATGTTGTAATTATGAACACAATCTTTCTTAATTGCTTGTCAGTTAACTTTGATTCCATGCAAAAATAAAATGAAAGTATTTTAATCTACTTATTTGCAACTTCACAGAGAATTTTTTTATTTGCATCTCTTTTTTTTTTTTTTTTTTTTTTTCCTACCTAGAATCAAAGATATCATCAGCTACATTAAAAAGTGAGAAAAATAATTTGGACAACAAAATTGTGGCGAGTGATTCACCTTCAGAAGAAACGACAGAAACCAACACTGTCAACAATTTTTGTGATAAAGAACAGAAACTTTCCAACCACAGTTCTCAATCTGATGGCATGAAATCAAACAGTAAATCTTCGTCTTTGCATTTGGATGCCTCTCCTCAATTGTCACCAATTTCCAATAGAGAGTCTGATGGAAATTCCGAGAAGTCTTCTAAATCTCCAAAGGAAATCTTGGACAATTGCAACAATCTCGAGACTAACCCTAGCAAAAAGAGGCCTGCAGAGTTGGATGAGAATGTGAGCAACAGTGATTGCAAAGATGAAGAAATGGCTCCTGTGAAACGGTCTCGGCTTGATGACATGATAGGCAATTTGGGTTCCCGAATTGGAATCAAATTGGATTCTATACCATTTGTAGATGAATTAGAAGAATCCAGTAAAGACAGTGATTCCAGTGAGAAACCATCTGAAGATACGGCCTCAACCGATGAAGAGGATGATGCCGAGAAAGCTGCAGATCTTGATCAAAAAATAATCCGAATGACTGAAAAAGTAAGTTCATCTTTCCATCAACATTATCAATAATTTTTTTTCTCTAAAAAAGCAAGCATTTCATAAAGTTTTATAAGACATAAAAATATCATTTGGATATTTGAGATAGTTGTAAAATATCTTTATAGAGTAGTTAAAATGTTTGTTTTCTTTCTCTGGTTAGTTCATAAATTGCATTTCATAATCCAAAATATTTAAGAATATATTGGGTAGCATTTGAAGCATTTTTAAGGAACAATACAGAATTTTAAAAATTAAAATCCTACTATTTACATGCAGACTATTGTCTCCATCTTTATTGGAAACTAGGCAAGCAATGACTGAGAAGTACTAAATAAAAACTAGACAAAATATCCCTAGACATGGATAATGGAACAAGGACAAATCTTTTGAAGATTGTAATATGTTTGGTTTGAAATTCTTAAAATGAAAAAAACAATTTTTATTCTCACCAATATTGGTACGCTTTTTTTTTTTTTTTTTTTTTTTTTACACTTTGATGTGGTGTAATGACAGAATAGTGAGTTCGGTCCTCACAAGGTGCCCCATACTTCCAGCGTTGTACCATGTCTGCGCTACACCTTAGAAAATCAACAATAATGGTGTTCTTTTAATAACTAGAACACACAAACACACATTTAAGCGCTCTTTTTGTTTTAAATGGTGGATAAAATTAAAACAAAATTTCTTTTTCTCTATCAATTTTTGGTTAAAAAAACTTGCCTGAACTATTAGTAAACAACATCAAGGCATTGTTTTCTGCTTATCATAAACTATCAGAAAAATACAAGGGAGACTTAAAAAAATGATAAACAGAAAAATTTAGTCATGATATGGTAATGGTAAAAGAAAGTGTTTTGATAAAGATTTCAAAAACTTTTTTGATTGTGGCTTGCTTGAATGAGGACATATCCATGTAAAATTATTCAAGTTGATTTACCTGAAATGTTTAAATAAAAATAATGTAAGTGATTTTTATTAAATATTGCAAATATAATTGAATCTTTTTTGCATTTATTAATTTTTAAAAGTAATATTTTTAGCTTTCTCTATAAAATTTAATAGTGTTTTTAATATGCTACTAACAACTATTAATGATTAATAAAGTTTTTAAAAAATCCATTTTGATTAAAAGATTTTTTTTAATTTTGAGGGGGGGTGTGATTAAAGATATTTTTAGAAATGTTTCTGTTGACAATGATGAAGTTAGTCTGGAGCCCTATGAACTTCCCTTTATTGCTAAAAAAAAAAAAAGTACTATATTAGGTGCCTCCACAGATTTGTGATACCTAAGGTTTAAAATTCATCTTTAAAGATGAAATGAAAAATCTTTCCTGAAGGTTTTAATTTAATTTTTATTTCATAAAAAAATAATTGAAGAATAATATGAGCACTTTTTTTTTTTTCTTTTTTTCTCTCTCTCTCTTTTATATAAATTTTTTTTTTAAGTACTACCTAATCTTTAAAATTTAGGAAAATATTCTCTATAGTCGGTTTTATTGAATTTTAGATACTTTGGCTTTAAAGTTACTATAGTTATTGATCTTATTTTCTGATAATGTTATGTATGAACTACCGTATCTACAAAAATTGGCACTTTATACACTTACGAAAAAATATTCAAAATTCTTTGAAAAATTTTGGTGCTTTGTACTACGCTTTTTGATTTATGTAAATATAGTTTTTACTTAATAACTGTGAAATATTTTTCTTCAGGCAATAGTGTCCATAATGTATCTTGTGGATAAAAGCAATTAAAAGCTTTTTTTAATAAAATAATGTCTTAGTTTTATTACGTTTTTTTATTTTAGAATTCAGAGCGTATTTTTGGTAACTGGTGTTTCTGTTTTACAAAAAAAATTGATTTAAATTCTTTGAGTTTTTGCTTTTAACTGATAAATATTAAGGAGTGAAAATTTAATTTCTCAATGTTTCATAACATTAAATGGGTTGGGTAACACATTAAAAAAAAAAAAAAAAATTCCAAAATAATTTCATTCAAATGTAAATAAGTTCTGAAAGTTTCATTAAAATCCAATAATTGATTTTCTTGTTTTTTTTTTGTTTTTTTCCTCTTTCCTCTCTCAAGAATTTCCAATTCAATGTGGTTTCACTGGGAAAAAAGGCACTAAATTTTCCTATATTAATCTTTGGTCCCAAAGATACAAAACAAAACAAAATTTTAACCAAAATTTCAAACTTTCTGATCAGGATTAAAAGATATATTTAAATAATCCAAAAATACTTTGGTCTTCCCTCTTAATAACAACAAAGATTTTGACAAAACTTTTTATCAAGTTTGGGGCATATTTTCATCATGGCATGGTTTTTTTTGGTTTTTCTTTTAACAAATTTGTGGAATTACCTATAATATATTCTGTATAAAAGGTAATCACAGGAAGTAGACCTGAAAAAAAAATCTTCCCTATTTGAATAAAATAGGTTCAGTTTTCTCTTTTGGAAAACTTAAATTTAACCCAAACTAGGTAAACCTGTTTAATGAAGATACCACTCCTCCACACACACACACACACACACACACCTTTGTACCATTTGAGAAATTGAATGTGTCAACACTTTGTGCATGAAAGGGGATTCAGAACGATGACTATTGTCTCTATTATAAGCATCTAATACTGGCAAATTGGATATGCCAAATGGCAGCTGTAAAGTGCCTTTTGCTTTTAGGTCATCATTAACCTTTTCATTGCTGTGTGCAACTATAGTTGAATTTTATACTATATTTGGTTTGCCAGTCAGATCTGCTTTTTGTACAATTTTGCAGTTTCTCGTTTTTAATTTTGACAACAAATTATTTTTACTACACTTTCATCCATATCATTCCATGGAAGTAAACTAAATCAGTCATTTTGTACTGAGCCGGTCTTGAAAGTACGACTTTAGTGAAACTACTGACTCCAAAGTCTATATTGATCACAATGACTCAAAATACAGTGTGTGGCCAAAATACCTTGAACATAATAAGTCATATGCATTGTGTGTGTGTGTGTGTGTGTATATATATATATATATATATATATATATATATATATATATGACCACCACTCTTAACCTGAGTTCTAATTTAACCCATGATAGGTTGGTTTATAAAGCTAATTGATGAAATTCTATTTTTTTTACAAGGTCCTTTCCCTCACTCCTTTGTTAAAAATTTGCATAAAATGCAATATTTCAAATTTTTCTTTGTAAATTTTGTGATTTTTCTGATAATTGTTATAGCCTTGATTTTAGTAAGTTATTTACAAAATTTAGGCTAAAATCCCCCATGTGTGCATATGTATGGATACATTTTTCTGTTGTGCATGCAACTTCTAGTTGCTACCAATAAGAGGGGATGTATATTTATTATTAATATTAACTTATAGCTCTATTATTATACATCAGACACTATTTTATTAGTACCAGCACTCAATGTGCAATATATATATATATATATATATATATATATGCTAGAGTAAAAGTATACATTAACTGTAGATTTGGCTTCCAGCACTATATTTGACAAGTCCATAAAAGTAGAATAATTGTAGATGTATGTGTTATTACAAATTTATGCCAGTAAAAGGTGATGAAGGATGTGATTAGATTTGAAAGTCATTATTTTAAATTATACTTGCAATAAAAAGACAATTACAATGCTGTACAACTGTTGGCCAAGTTGTATTCTGATTTTGCAGAAGTCATTGAGAGTTATTTGGGGTTTGAATATGATCTGATTAAACCGAAGCAGTTGGATGCAAGAAAATATTTACTAACTTTTGTATTCCAAAGAACTGTACTTTAAAAACAAAACAAAAAACGAGTGTTTGATGAAGGTGAATATTCAGTTATGTTTGAGTGGCTTAAGTTCTATCATGGAACATTGCTTACTTTACTTTACTGACTTTTATTTAGAGAATTAATACTCTAGGCAATAAAGACATTATGTTTTCATTCATAAACTAAGTTGATTGTTGTTGGGTTTTTTTGTTTGTTAGATTTTATAAGATTTAGGAATGTGTTGCATTCAATTTCTTTTTAAATTTTTTCGATTTAGGAATATATTGCATTCAATTTCTTTTTAAAAAAATTTTTTTTTTTTTTTTTTTTCACTCTCTTTTTAATCTGTGACTTTAAACTTATTTTATGGTCGAGAATTTTTTGGTGCACAATTATAATTTGGCCCCAAAGTAATTGGAATAACAAATTATAAATAAAATATTTTAAAACTAAATTTTTTTTCAAATGTAATTTTATGCTCATTGTTAGTTCTAATCTATTGGAATGACTGCTATGAACCCCCCCCCCACACACACACACCTTCCCCCAATTTGTAGGCAAATCCTACAGATGCATGCTGAGATTTCTTTCTAACCAATAAAAGTCGACCCTTTCTCAGTCTTAATTGCCATATTTTTGTTCTTTTGATGTCAAAATGCTATAATCACTTGACTGTATCTGTTTTGCATGTTAATACCATTCTTACTTTGTAAACTTTTTCCTTATTACTATTGCTAGTTTTGACTTGGATAAATATTGTCTGTTTAATATTATTTTGCCCTGTTCTCTTAATCCTCTTATTGTTTGAGAACTTTGTAAATTCCATTTGTTGAGCATTTTGCCAATTAAACTTAACCAGTTACTGCATATTCATCTCTTGTGTGATATTTTTATCTCTATTTACAAACATCTAATGAAAAGCTTAATCATCAGATTTTGGTTAAGAAATTTTCAGCACCAATCTTTTATGTGCCTATCAATTATTTACTTTAAGGTTGCAAATGTATTCATAGTCTGCCATTTGTAATCTAGTCAGATATCAGTAATTGAAAAAATGTAATTTGAAATATTTTATTAATATACATCATGCAGTCAATTATTTTTTTAACTGATGTATTGTTGCTTAACAATCTTCAGCTTTTCAAAATAATTGCTCAAGTATTTGTAAATAATGGTAACTCCTCATCTCATTTAAAATGTCTGCAAAATTCATCCAAATGCAATTTAGAATTCTTTTCTGTTTTTGATAGAATCCCTTTTGTAATTGTGAACTTTTACATTTATATAAGGATCAAGATGATCTCAAATTTTAATTTATACCTACATTCCATATAATCAGTTGTCTTTTTTCTTTTGTCAGTTTTAAAAAAAATGTTTGATTTTGAACAATTCAATCTCTTTATATGGCAATAATTTTTGTTACTTTTAAAATATCTTTGTTTTTTGGTCTATCAACACTATCCTTTTGTGGCTTTTTTTTTCTCTCTCTCAGCAAATATTTCTGAACATTCATTGTGCATGCATCATAGTAGATTCATATTGCATCTTACCTGCCTTATTAAATGAACAAAATGTTACAGAAACTTTATAAAAATCAAAGAATATATATATATATATATATATATATATATATATATATATATAATATATATAAAAAGAAAATTAACATTTTTTTCCCCTTTCCTCCCTATTGCAGGAACTGGCTGAAATTGTCAAAAGAGAAGTGGAGAAAATTTTAAATAGCAAAGAAACAGATTTACAAAGTTTGCAACAGAAAATTGATGAACTGCAAGCTGCAAATGAAAGTTGGAAAACTCAGGCAAATGAATTACATAAACAGGTGCTTGAACAAAGTGTGATGCAGCAGAAATCTGAGAAGAGAAAAATGACTGTTGCTCACAAGGTAAAAGAACAAAAATCATTTATATTGGACAAAATTCATTAGCAATTTGGAAATGAATCCATAATATATGTACGTGTGTTATTTTGTTAATACATGCAGTTGAATTTTTTTAATGCAAATTGATATCTCACTCATAACAAAAGGTTTTTCTGCTAACAGTTGCTGCTCATTTACTAGCATACATCTTGAAGATTCCTTGTTTAAAACACGTGTCTTGTTTTTTAAAACATTTGCCTGAATTATGGTTTATTTTGAAGATTTTGTTTCTAAAATCTTCAGCTAACTTGGTTCTCTGGCCCCAAATCTTTGTTTCTAAGATGACATGCTTGATCGTTTGGTCAGATTTTGGGGAAATGGTTCAGGTGAAGCACTTTTCAGCAACCCAGTTATGTAGTTAATTGATTTATACCTGTTTACATGCAAATGAAAAATTTGTCATAATATAAGGGAGATAACTTTTACTTGCGATCTAAATCCCTAATTGTTTTCTACTGGAACTTACTGTTTTTTTTTTTTTTTTTTTTTTTTTTTTCTTCAAGTGGAACATACCATATTTATTTATGCGTTCTCTTTCTTAGACACACTCCACTAGACATGTGGGTATTCAAGTAGATGAAGGAAAGGTAAGGTATATTTTTATTATTATTAAGAATTATCTTTCTCTCGTTAGAAAACAAAGAGAAACACTTTATATATTGTGTACCATTTAACATTTTCCATTGATACATTGTAGCTAATAGATTGAATGTTGTTAGTTATGATGGAATTGTTATTTCAATTAAATTCTTTATCTTTATTAGGTGACTTGAATATATACCTGGCCTAAAATGAATACACTTACCTGAGTTAGTCATTTCTTTTTATTATTATATAAACTTTGCTCAATCCAGAAATGTTGATTCTATCAGTTATTTCCAAGCAATGAAGAAAATTGTCCATTATTTATTTATTTTTAATACAAGTTTGTAAAAACAAATATTGGATCTAAAATTAATTTTTTTATTACTTTTCTCATGCCCCCACAAAATATTCTGCTAATCTGTCTAATTATCGTATGAATGAATTATTGGATGAATACATTTTAATCAAAGATAATTTTCAATCTCAATTACATCAATTTATTCAGAGTCCTGCTTTTCTCAAGGTCATTTGTTCAAAGTGACTTTGAACGCAGCTTGTCGATTTTATTTGCCATGCTGCTAACTACTTCACCAACAACACTTGGATTCTTTTTTAATTTTTTTTAAGGAAGTTTTGTAGTTTTGAATCAAAGTGATCTCTAAAGTTAACACCACCAATTTCATATTTACCCTTGTGTCAAGTTTCAATCCTCAGGGTTCAACTATTTGGTTAGAATTCTAAGAAACATATTGGGCCTATCATAATAGACATTGCATGTTCAGTTGATTGTAGGGAATTATTAACCTCTTTACTTAGAGAATTTCATAATTATGCATTCTATGTATTTTTGAAAAGAGTTTAATTATAAACTCAGTTTCTTATGTTAATGTGTTTTGGGGTTTTGTACTCTCACAAATGTTGACAATGACAATTTTGATTAAGAATGGAAAGGACAAAACTTTTTTATTATTAAAGATTTTTAAAAAAATATCTATTAAAGTGAAGTATTTGAATGAGCTTATTTAAAAGGTGGCTTCTTCTAAAAGATATTTTTAAATTATTTGAAGCTCTTAGAAAAGCATTTATTAGTTTCGTAGTTGATTGAATCTTTACAAAAAAAATTTTTTATTGCTCTTAACGATGCAGGTGTTACTTCCCGTGCTTTCATGGAGAAGGCCCTATTTGTATATGTTTTATTGTGTCATCATCTGCATTTCTAATTACATCCTACATAAAGAAACATCTTCATTTCACCTTTTCATCAAAACCTTGGTCTTTCACTCAATTTTTTAAAAAAAAGAAAAGAAAAAATGTCATTTTGGGGAGGAAAATAATAAAATTTCTAAAGTCAGAATTATAAGTTATCAGTAGTTTTTATAACTTCTCTTCATTAAGATAATAAAAAAAAATCTAAATTGTAAATAGTAGAGAAGTATAAGAGATAATATTTACTGACTTTTTTCATTTAGAAGAAATTGGGAGGGGGGGCAGAGGAAATTTGTCCAAATTTTTTCATTTTCTTTGCTGTTCAATATATATATATATATACACACACACACACACACACAAACTTTGTTCCTTTGTAAAATTGAATAGTGTATTTATTTACAAAATCAGTTCAACCTTAGTGTAAAGGAATTTTTCAGATTATGAAATATTAATGTTATTTTTTTTTTTTTTTTTTTTTTTTTTTTTTTTTAACCTTTGTAAAGCAGATTTATGCCCCTGCAATTTGTTCTCATTGATGTCTCCTAATAATTGTAGGCCAAATGGCTTTTTTTTTCTATTAAATAATTAAAATTTAAAAAATAACTTGCCTTTGATTTATAACTCCTAAATTTGTAAAAGAATTCCTTGTTTTTTTTTCTTTTCTTTGAAAATTTATCATTTAGACAGGCGATCATTTAAATTGTATCTTTACTGCAGTAATCATCAATTAAACTATATAATAATTATCAATCTGTATTTATTTCCTGTCCCATCTGTAGTGGGAAGGTAGGTAAATCAAATTAGTAAATTTATGAGTGATGACTTCCCTTAGTCATTTTAATAATCTATACAAATAAAATATTTATCTGACTTTTAAACAAAATTATTTCCTGAGCAAAATGAATTTTTTCATCAATCAGTTCCTTTATTCCTACATTTCTTAGATTGGAGTCTTATTTGGTCAAGCCTTTCATGTGAGACACACAGATACCTTTGTCTATTAAGTGATCATCTTGCTTCAACTTGGTATTGAAATAGGCTTTTTCATTGCCATCTTTCTTTTTCTGTTGATAATATTTTTCATTTCACTGTTATGTTAAACAGATAAAATTTTTAACATGGAAAGATATTGAGCAAAAATCGATTTATATAGTACCAGGAGTAATCACTGAATTATTTTATAAACATTTTAAAGAAAAGTTGTTTTAATTTTATTTTTTGTCTTTAAAGGAGAAAATATTACTTTCTCTTGGTTTCCTCCTGCTTTCCTCATTTTCAGTCTTGCTTAGATTTCATTTATAAAGAAAGAAAGAATTATTTCTGGCTTATTTCATTCATATCTTCATCTTTCATTTCATTTTGATCAGCTTGTATCCCCTTCCATCAGCCGGGCAGAAGTATTTGTCTGGAACTTGTTATTATTATTCACAAACTTTTCACATGCCAAGGAAGTTTTCAAAAAATATTAAGCTCAAGGTGGGGGTCGAGCTTCGCTGCAGGCAGTACCTCTCTTTTAGGAGGGGATGAGCTTATTGTCTGGCATCCCCAAAAGAAGTGCTTGGGCAATTTTTTTTCACAGTATTGCCATTAAACTGACTTTGTGTCACATTAGCAGTGTGGGTGCACAAAACATAACCATTATTTAAAATGGGGGGGGGGGGGGATACCACTGAATTATAAACTTTCAAATAGTTTTCCTAATTAGACTGTAGAGGTACTGCTACAATTATTAGGTAATGCTTTGAAATAAATTCCAGTTTAGTTAAAAAATGAAAATACTTAAGTCTCTATATTAGAGTTGACTTTAAATATTTGCTCACATAATTTTGTTTAATATTTTTCCCAACATTAACAACAGTCAAAATACAAGGTGGGGGTGAGGGCTGGGGCTAAAATGGTCTCAATCCAACCAAGAAAAGCTTCCATAAGTAAATGTTTGCTTGTTTAGTCAGATTCTGCAAAGTGAGTAGCATCCCAAGAATGTTTTTAAGTCTTATGAGAAGCTTAAAAAAAAAGAAAAAATAGAAATCAACTTATATATAATTTCACAGATGCCATTTTGAGTATAACCTTTCAAATTTTAACATCATTTTTTTTTTCCTGTAAGACTTTACTATCATTTAAATCTCTGTCAATGAAGATTGTCTGCTGCTGTTTTCATTAGCAGCACCCTAGTCACTTGTGTGGCTTTGTTAATATCAGAATATCTTGCAATTGAAGATAGCATGTTGTCTGTGAGCATATTATTTTATTGTTGGAGACATTTACGTGCTTTCATCTAACTGAAATTTTTAAACAACCAAGTTTAATAAAAATGTTTTTTTTTGTTGTTTTTTTTTGTTTTGTTTTTTTTCCTCCTCCTTTTGCTTCTGCCTTCTCTCTTCCTTCTCTTCTTCTTCTTCATCATCATCACCTACATTTTTCATTGCCCTTTTTTTTCCCTTTTTTTTTTTTTTTTTTTTTTTTTTTTGTTTTCCACCTGTAGCAGAGCTCCACTATGTTGGCCAAAATAACTACTCAAAAGGACTCTATTCCTTCATCTGCATCTTTGAAAGCCCGAAGTAACACCTAAAAGTCAGGGGATGAATGCCTCCTCCCCTTCGCTAAATATCAGCCACCCTGGACACGAGGAAGCAGCAATCAGAACACTGAGCCCAACCCTACAATGACACCAACTATAATTAACTCCAATAACCCTACTCCTTTAGTAACTGCCCCTGTTGGCAGAAAGGTGAGAGAACCGAAATTGGAAAGAACCTACCATGATACTTTCTAATTTTACTTTACATTCAACCTTGATAAAAAAAATTTTTTTTTTTTAAATTTGTCTTATTTAGAAAAAAAAATGCTTTTACTGTAACAACTTTTGACAAATGGAGTTATAAAATATATTGTGTAGTGGTTTTAAGTTGATTAAAGTTGTGTATAATTGAATATTTATGCATGAAGTGTGTGTGTGTGTGTGTGTGTGTGTGTATGTACATACAAAGGTCATTCAAAAAGTTCTAAGCTTCACCTAGGAGTTGGAGAAGCAAGACAGTTTTTCACTCTTTTTCAATATCGTCCCCCCCCTTGACACCAATGCACTTGGTCCAATGATGCTTAAGCATTACAATTCCATCACAAAAGAAAGTCTTCCAAAGACTCCTCCACGACACTTATGATCTCATCATTGTTTACAAAATATCCACCATGCAGGTAGGATTTTTGTTTAGGAAACCAGAAGAAGTCAGATGGAGATAAGTCTGGTGAGTAATGGGGGATGATGTAGCAATTCAAAGCTACTGTTGGCTGCTTCATCTACTGCAACCTGAGCAGTGTGAATGGTCATGTTATTCTGGAGCAAGAGTGCAGTTTCTCTCTGCATTTTGACTTGATTTCTTCTTTCAGTTGTCTTCATTCTAATGAATAGTACTGTCCATTAATAGGTTTTCCCTTTTTCATGTAGTCTATCATGATTGCACCTTCAGAATAATAAAAAGAAAACAGAAGCCATCACCTTGCCAACAGATGCTGCATACTTGAACTTCTTCAGGAGGGGGTTGAGAACCAGAGTGTTTCCACTGTTTGCTTTGAATCTTTGATTCGGGTCCGATGTGGTGAACCCAGGTTTCATCTTGAGTTACTAATCTGCGGTGAAAATTCTCAGGGTCAGCCTGGAAGTGAGTCAGAAGCATTCTGGAAATGTCAACCCTTTTCAGCTTCTACTCTAGTGTCAGCATTCTTGGGGCCCATATTGCAGACAGCTTGCTCATCCTCATGATCTCCATCAAAACAGTATGAACTGAATCAGAACTAATGCCTATGGATAGAAACTGTCTATCATCCAAAATCATATGAGGGATGGCCTCAACTTGTTTATCAGTGGTTGATCACAGCCTTCTTCACAGTTGCATAGAAAGGGAATTCCTTAGCAAGTGTCTGTCATCATGGATTTCATTTTCTTTTACGGTGACTGCTTGGGCCTTTTTTTTTTTTGTCCATTTTTAGATTTGTCGCACGCCTCTCACCTTTGTATGGGCCTCACCTGCACAGAAATTAAGACAGAAATCAGAATCATTTTTTCTACTTTTATAAGAAGTGGTAGTGTGTTGCCACAGCAAAAATGTTCAGCTATGGCTCTTCTTTCTGGGTGAGGCTTAGAATTTTTGAATGACCCTCATACATACTAATATGTTTATGTGTTTTCCTTATTTGTCATCTGTCAGGCAATAAGGTTCTTGTCACATCTGAAAAAATTGAGAAATGTAGGTTTTTTTAGTTTTTTTTTTTTTTTTATAAGGTACTATCTTTTTATTTAATATGGTTAATGCTTTAAAAGAGTGTGTATATTGTGCAGTGATAATAAAATTTCAAGTCTTTTACAAATGATATACTTGGAAAAGCACCTAGCAAAACATGCTAGATGCAGTAAAATTCTGATTCAGTTCTAGTAAGATTTTTAGTTAACAAATGCCAAATATTGATTCTTTTGTTTTGTTTAAATTGATTCTCTTTGACTTTTGTTGCTTTCTTGTTAGGACACTTTGGCTGCTGTTTCTATTTTTAAAACTTAACATCCACCTGGCAAAGACCCAAGTATACAGTGGCCAAAATGTCGTAACAAAACAATACAATGTGCAGTGTGTATAATAACATCCAGAAAAGAAAAGGTACATTTTGGGGAATTTTGTTTTTTATGCTCGCTAATAGACAAAAAAAACAGTTAATGAATGGAGATATGTTTTGTTATTTGGTCACAGCTTAAATAATATGGATTAAAAATTAATAATATATAACATTTTTGTAAATATTTGTTATCTAAAATTGTCTTTTAAATTTTTTTAAATTTGTTTTCATTTTAGCAAATATTATAATACTGTTATATATATATATATATATATATATATATATATATATATATATATATATAGTTCCTTAATTGGGGTGGGGGTGCTAAAATAATTTTGGGACTTGACCTACTTCTAAAATATAACTAAATATCAAGTGTTGAGTTTGAGAACTTTTTTGCCACCACCGTGTGTGTGTGTAAAGAGAATTAATAATAAACTGGGAAAAGCTTTTTGTGTGACATGTGTCCTTTACAACAGGCTAAAGTGGAGTTTTTGTTCATATAACTACATGTGTGCAGTGGGAGGAGATGTTGAAATTTAAATACATTTTGTTTTTTGTTTCACCCTGCCTCCACATACATACATACATATATATATATATATATATATATATATATATATATATATATATATATATATATATATAATTTGACAGAATGATAGAATAAATAACAAAATGCAAAACCTATTCCATAAATCATTTCTGATGAATAAAGGCAAAAGATATTAAATTCATAAACGTTTCTTATTTGTTCTTTATTGTATCGTGTGTGTGTATGTAGCTGTCTTGTGCAAAATCTTTGAGAAAAAGAATGTTACTATTTGTGTTTTGTAAATTTCAGTTACCTAAGGGGAAAAGAATTACAAGTAAAAAAAACTCTTAAATGTTTATCCTTTGTGCATTCATTATCTTCCAATAATTGTTGCTGTTAATCAAATTTTAAAAAAAATTGTATTTTAATATTTTGACAAAATTAAATTAGTCAAGGCATCTTTAGAATCAGCAGAAACAACACATGCACCTGTAATAAGTTTTAAGATTTTTGTCATTTATGTGTATATGTGCACACGCACTCATGTACATTCATTGTCACTCTGCCCAACCCACTATGATGTTCAAGCTTTTTGTTTCCTTCCTATTTAAGTAAATTTTTTTTTCTTCTCCTTTTTCTGTTTGGCAGATCCTTCCATCAACCAATCCATCTCGAAGTGGGCAAATGAACAATCAAATCAATACACCTCCAGTAACAAAGTTCCAGTCACCAACCGTGAAAAGTCTGCTTGATGCCTCACGCAACTCCAGCTTGAATCAAGTATCTAGTAGCCCTGCTGTTGTCTACCAGTCTTCACCTGGACTTTTTGTTGTATCTTCACCTGCGTCAACCACCACATCGACTGCCCACAGTATACTAACCAAACCAGTGTCAAGTCACATATCCACTCCACAAGCCGCCACTTCTCGGTCATCAGGATCCGTAAAAGTTATAGATTTAACAGGAGATGATGAGAATTCATTAACTAATCAAAGCAATGGAAAGAACTTAGTACACGCTGCTGCTATTGCACCTATTGGACAAGTGCGACCGGGTATTGTACCTCAGCAGGTGGTACGCCAGGTTACCCCTGTGCAACAGCAGCCAGTACCCCCAGGTACTTCGTTTTTGTTGAGCACACCTGCTGGCACACAAATAATTAGTCCCACAGTCACACAAGCTTTAGGTAGCACCCGACCTGGTGTGTGTCAGTATGTTCTCACCTCCACCCCCAATATCCGACCTGGCTCTCTAGTAACAGTTGTGCCTACACAAGGAACACAGAACTCATCCATACGACCACCAATTGTGTCAAGTACGATTGCTAGTGCCAGTTCATTACCACAATTACGACCTGCCCAACAGTCATCTTCAGTTGCTTCTGTGGACCTCACTAAGGGAATACGCCCCCCACCTCCTCTCCAAAGTGCCCCCGTGTCACAGGTAAGTACTCTCTTCTCATAACACATTGAATGAAGCAAGCAAAAATATGTTTGTCTGCTTTGTATCGCATGATACAAATGAAACCATTTTGGTTGTAAATTCCTAAAAGCTGTGTGAACCAAATTGACAAACAATTTGTATTGGATGAAAATAAATTCCTGGGATTACTCAATCAACTGAACATTGGGATTATCAATATTTCTTCAAGATAAGCTTCAATTGTTTTGAGGCTCCCAATAATGCAATGCTTCCAAAACCAAAATTGCCACTGGCTTCACAGGTCATTTTCTTGTTTGTTTGCAGTCAATACAGTCTTGTTTTAATTCGTCTATTATATATTCTGGCATATTAATGCCATTTTATTTAGAGATGTTGCCAAATGAATAAGATGCAAATATAAAAATGTAAAGAACATTTTATTGACTAAAGTCCATTTTGTACGTAATTTGGAAGATCTGCTTTAATTGTTCATATTTTATTTGTTTGGATATCACAGATTTTAAAATAATAGAACAAAATGCTTTAAAGATAATTTTAAATCAAAATGTTAATAAGTCTCACTTGCCATGAACTTGAATCCATCCATTTTTGCCATGTTCCTAGTTTCAGAAATGATTTTTATGGTTTACTTTATAATACTGTTAATTCTACCTTATATTGTCAATAGTGCGTGGGGGGGGGGGGTGAAAAATATTACTAGCCTCTGACCCACAGATTTCAGTATGTAAAAATTTCATTCGTATTGGAATTCTTTTCTCATCTCTAGATTCTTGGTGATCATTAGAGAATTGTTTTATAAATCTAATTCAATTGTCTAATATTAATTTCTTTTTAGTTTCTACTGTCATGTCTTCCATTTTGTTTTTGCTTAGATCTTTTCTAACAAGGCTTTTTTCTTTCTTTCTTTTTTAACAATGACTTGATTGTGACTTGATCGTTCAAATAACAGCTTTGCACTTATTGTTCTATTTTTTGTTTATTTGTTTTAGTATATTCAAATTTATTGGTATATATTAAATAAAATGTACATTGTAAATGACTAATGTTAAAATTAATTTGGATTGAACTTTTTTATATCAATTATCAAAATTTATTCAATAAATATTAATATTTTTGTAAATTGTTTTTTTCCTGTCTGTCAACTTAGATTTTCATGTTTGTCTATTTATTTGAGATTAAAAATATAGAATTTTGATTTTTTTTTGCATTCATTACTTCAATTGGTAAATTTCATTACATTTCTTTGAACAAGAAAGCTCAGAACTTCACAATTTTCCAGTAGGGATTTTTCTTAATACTTCAAAATTTTTTTTAAAAGATATTAGCTAGAAATGACTTTGTTAATTACAAATTGTTAATTCTTGAGAAGCTTTGCTTCTAATTTGTTGAAGACAATCCTTCATGTATTTAATATATTCTGAAAATTTTTGTTTGTTATATAATCTCAGAAAGGAATTTCATTTCCTCCTCCATCTCTTTGCAGAGAGTTGTCTCCACAATTCTTAGCAGCTCTTCATCTTCACAATCACTCACTTCAGTTGCTAAACATCCAGCTGCATTACCTCCAACACCCAGCCACAATGTACAGGCACAAGGCCTAAAAAGTCCACCCCCTAAACCTGGCCTTAGAATAACCAGGGTAGCACAAGGTAAGGCAATTGTCATTCACTGTTTTTTTTTTGTTTTTTTTTTCTTTCTCTCTCTCTCTCTCTTTCTCTCTCTCTCTTTCTCTCTCTCTCTCAGGTTTTTTTCCTCCAACCTCCCCCAGTGAGTATCAAATGAACATGATTTTTTTTTTGGTGTCATTCTGCTCCCAGATTTAAGTATGGTGCTACTTATAGCCACCTGACTTGCCATATCATTTGGAAGCTGGTGTCAACTTCAGAGTGGATCATGTGTTGTTGGTTCCAAAACCTTGTTTCTGGGGATATAGATCACCAAGATAAGCTATGAACATTTGGGTAGAGATATTCAGACATTGGGACCAAAATTGAGATAGCTGGGAGGGCATCTGGTAGAAATCAAAAAAGTGAAGAAAGTTTAGGTGTAGATATTCTGACTTGGTTGCTGTAATGGATTACTGCATTACAGCTATTTGTAATCTGGTCAGCTCATCCTAGCAGTGTCCAATTGAAACACTTTGAAACTGGTGCATCAAAAGTTGAAGTGAAAAGAAAGGATTTTTCTTGCCACAGAAACTAATTTATAAACCGCCTGGCAAAAAATGATGCACTTTGGTATCTAGGACTTTCCCTGTTCAGTAAACGCGGATTTATCCTTTTTAATGCCAGCAGATGTATGCTAATATATACCAGGTCAATTTCCTGTGACCCAAGATCTTATCAGGATGCAATAAATTCCCTGACAGATTATTGCCAATATCCTGCTGATTCTAATGATGTACTTACTTTGACTAAAGCCAAATTAAGATCTTTCAAATTTGAGATTCAAAACAGCCACATATTTTTCTTTCTAACCTGATAAGAATTAAACCCAAACAAGAAAAAAAAATGGCATAAATAAAACAAAAACAATAGATGATCAATAAACCAAATTTTATTGAGAAAAACATCTTAAATGTATTTTCTTATGATTTCCATGTTTATTGCTTGAGTTAGAAAACAGTACAGATTTTATTTGGTTTATCAATGGATTTTCTTGAAAATGTTTTTTTTTAAAAAAAAAAAAAATTCATAAATTTCACAGAGCAGCCATAATAACTGGGACGGATATTTATAAAAAATGACAAATGTCTGATTTCTATCTGACATCAAAGAACTTACAAAAAATATCTAATAAAATTCCTCTTAAATTTAAAATCATTATTATAATTATTAATTTGTCTATTCTATTCTAATATATATTTTGATATAGTTAAATATACTTCACTGTCTCTCATACTGCTGTTTAAAAGCCTTGTTTTTGTCATATAGGAAAATCTAACATGGGCATAAACAAAATATTTGACGTAAAATCTCATTCATCAGTAACATTTTAAACACCTCATAAAATGTAAAGTTCTTAAAGCAGACCTATGCCAAACTGTTTTCCTGAATACTCGATGACTTGACTGTCTGAAAATGACAACATCAAGATGAAATAATGGAAACGGACTGTGAAAAACATAATTATGCGCAACAAGTTTTTGATCAATCAGTAAACTTCTGGACCATTTTGGGCGACATTATACGATCCAGACGGCTATTGTTTGCACATGGAATTATTCACTGGTAATTAATCTTCAATTTGGCTGTGGAAAATATTACTCGGCGGTTAGCATTAAGAAATTGTGCCCAATTTTCTGAGAAAAATCACCATTTTTTTTTTTTTTTTTTTTTTTTATGAAAAAATATTTATTTTCACTTCAAAATAATATCATTCAAACTTCATCCCTTTCTTTTTCATTTGGCGTGAGCATCATTGAATAAAAGGAACGGCTAAATGTCCTGGCGATGGGAAATATGAAAGATATGCAGTGAAAAAAAAAAAAAAACAATGTCGTCTGCTAAGTGTTGGGTCACGGGGTATTAAAAACAAAACACATTGAGCCATTGTTCAAACATACCTTATATCAAGCCCTACTAATGTTGACTCATTTTTTTTTTTTTTTTTTTTTTTTCACACTTTGCTCTTATCTGGGAGTGGTGGGTTTTATTACAACTTGTTCTAAACGTTTATTGCTGGCTGGCTGACCTTTGATCCAGAGATGACAGTCAATTTGGTTTAATTTTCCTTATCGCTGCTTTTTTTTTTTTTTTTTTTTTTTTAAAAAAACAAAACTTTTGGTTTCTGTTGGTCAGGAATTGCAGATAAATCTTTCGCCTTTTACTAAAGATTTCTGTGGCTGGGTGTCAATTTTTTTTTTTAACCCCTGGCAGTCATATAATTGAAAATTACCAATGGACTTTGCCGCATTTTGACCCCCTAGGAATGTTGATTTCCTTAAAAACTCTCAATTTTATGCCTGAAATAGTTTATGATTTAGGCTTTCTGATTCATTTTTGCTGGTCAATTGCCATCAAATGTCATCTTCACAATGCTGCATGTTTTCAATTGAATCTGGTTTGATCGAACTTGCCAGCTATTTCATCAAACTGTTTTATTAAACGCTTCATTAATTTTTTTTCTCTGCTAAACAGGATAAAAATCATCTCTTTAAAGGGCATTTGTTTTTTTCTTGAACCATGGATCCACGTTTGCCTTCAAAAATTTGATGTGTATTTGAGCTGTTGACTTGACACAAACTGGAACTTGATATGCGCCCACCAATTCATCTATAATCACACCACTTAAGCCTTGTTAATGTCTCCACCTTCCACCTGTATGGAGGCATTCCATCAGTAGCCATTTAGCTTTTGCTCCATTCCTCTAGTCCATTGCATTGGTGACAAGAACAGTAGAAAAAATTCCCTTCTATTCTGTTGTCCTTTCATTCAATTTTAAAAGATGCCTTTTCATCAGTTTCACACATTTTTGCCACTTAATTTAGGATACAATAACATCTTTTGTTTTTTGCTTTTCGGCATTTCTTTGCTACCACAACAACTAAAATTTTCATAGCCTGACAAAGGCAAATTGGCAAGATAAAGTTTTGAATGTCCTCTTATCAGGCTTGCATCAGTGTTGTGCCAGATCATTTTTGCAAGTGCTGAAGTTATTAAACCTTTCCCTTATCTACTAAATCAACCTTCTGACCCATTTTAAAACTTTACTCACAATGTGACTGTTATTAATTTGAGACTTTGAAATTGCAGACACTTTATACAAATCCTTGCCATTTATTTATTGCTGTGTCTTTATTTTTATATATTGATAGAAAAACCTAATAGGGATTGATAAAGTGAGACACTGGATGCAGTCTGAAAATCGACTGGTATTACAATCTAAAATGTATTCAAGTCATTACAATGATATTACAGCATTTATGTTTTATTAGGTCATAATTGTGTTGTATAGAAATTAGGATCAAAACAAGAAAACTAATTTATTTTTAACTGAGCCTGTCAATTGGGAAATTGGGGTGTAAGACTTTTGCTGAGATAATAATTAAAATAGTAAAATCCTGGGCTTTGATTAATGCATAGTGCATATACATAACACATGTGCACACAGTCTAAGAATAAGTATGGCACTTGTACCTTATGTGAATGTTTGGTGTGATGAACTGAATTTATTAAGGGTTCATGCTGAGTACAGACTTCATGATGTTTCATTTTCATTTCACTGATCTTCGGTGACCATTACTCATATCTCACTTGTATGATTTTTTTTTTTTTACCTTTTCTCTATGTTCACCTCATAAAGAGCCCAGTCAACATGTGATGTTGCTATGAATTTAAATAATAAAAAAAATGAAGGGGGGGGTTCTGTGATGATTGAAATTGGAGAACATCAAATCTCAAAAGACAAGAAATGGAAATTTACCAAAAGTGTTTTGGTTCTTGATAACAAAGATTGAACATCAAAAAAAAAAAATGGCAGGAAGACAAGAGTGTGTTTGTGAGAGAGAGATTTTCTATGGGAAACCTATTTTTTCCCCAGTTTTATCAACAACAAGCTCTGCTTTACCATTGTTACTTTACTGTCAAGTCAACTTTTTATGAAAGGAAAAACGTTTTCTTCAATTTGAGTTATTAAGAACAAAATGATTATATTTTAGCTGACTGCTCTTTAAATTATTCAATAATAGATGTATTTATTTTTAATTTGAGGCTGGGAATGTCAGCACCAACTGTCATCTTTGTTGTTTTTTGTTGTTATATATTTAATATGTATTAAGTGTGGAATATATATTTTTGACTGTTTCAGGAATTGTTTTATCATGGAACATGACATTGGCAGAAAGCCATGCCGAAATCTCCAATTACCAACTTTATGCTTACCAAGAAGGCAGTGCATCTCCAAGTACATCACTCTGGAAGAAGGTTGGTATCGTTCGTATTCAATAAAATAAATTATTTCTAATTTTATTACCTATTGTAATTTGATTTGAATCTAAATATATTCAACTTACCTGCAAGTCATATATATGAAGTGACAGAACAGAAGAATAGACTTGTTCATTAATTACTCTTCTTTTTTTTTTTTTTTTTTTTTTTTTTTAAGTATCACCACATGCAAGGCAGTCAAACCACTAAGACACAAGGGGTTACTGGGTGTGGAAGAATTAGGAACAGAAATATTAATAATGAGCATGAAGAGAAAAGAGTAATCGGGGAGGGCAGTACATAGCGATTTATATTGTATTTAAATTTTCGCAGATTAAAGTTAGCCGGAAAGCATGGAGTCTGGTGGGAGTTCCACAAGCAAGAAGTGCAAGAAAAGAAACTGTCAGCATAGAAGTTATGGTTACATTTAGTCAGCTCAGCTCTCAATTGATGAGATTTCACCGCCAGTCTAGTATTGTGCTTAAATTCAAAAATTTATTTACTTAAAACACATTTGGAATTATCATTGTCTTTAAATGAATTCAGTGATCAGCATTTGGGGTTGACTGCCATTGTAAAGTGTATAAAAAAATATTCTTTTATTTACTGCTTTGACAAAATTGCAATGAGACAGACAAGAACATGCATCTTTTCAGCAAAAACGATTACAAGTGACAATTTGAAATTTAAATTTAATTGTTCTACGTAATGCTTTAATTTATATTTAAATGTTTGTATTTATTTCTATTTATTTATTTTTTATTCTTTACCCTTTTACCAGGTTGGTGATATAAAGGCTTTGCCTCTACCAATGGCATGTACATTAACACAATTCCATGAAGGCAACAAATATCACTTTGCTGTACGTGCAGTGGACGCACACGGCCGTGTTGGACCTTTCAGTGACCCTAACACAATAAATTTGGGTGTAGGTGGCAAATGAACATTTCAGGACATTTCATCAAAAGAACAATTCAGTGTTTGATGCCATAAAATCCCAATCAACTTGGGTTACATTCACTTTAAACAAACAAAACAAAAATCATGCATCTGTGTTGATTTAAAGTTTTGGATGTTGACAAGGGGATTTCTAACTGGAGACACCTTTTATTTTTAAGAATAATTTAAGATGTTTACCAACTCTGCTCATTGTGTGTGTTTACTGTTATCACACAGACAATTAAATTCTTCCAGCCAACTCCCAAGAATAAATTCTTTGGCTGTTGTATGATTTTAAAATTTTTTTTTTTTTTTTTGGACTCCTACCCCACCAGACAGTTCTTAAATTTTTTAAACTTTGGATTTTTCACAGTTTGCTACTATGTACAACTAAACCATTAAACTAAAACTACAAATAAAAAAAAAATGACAACAGCAACACATCCTTTAAAACAAAACAAAAAAAAGTACTGGTTGAACTGTAAAAAAAAAAAAAAAACAAATTCTGCAAACTTACAGATATCTTGAATAAAAATATTTAAAAAGAAAAAAAAAAAAAGTTTCTGCTAAAGAGAAATAATGTTCTCTTTAGCAGATTCATTTTTTCAACATGATGCTCTTTACTATGGAAATTTCATTTGCTATTCTAATTTCAGCAAATAGTCCTGCTCCTCTTCCATCATCTCTTAATTTGACATAAAACTTAAAACAACAAAAGAAAAACATCAACAGGAAAAAAAAAAAAATCACAAGAGAATTTCTTGGTAACAATAAAGCTGTGATGGCTCTGTATAAAAGATCATTTGAGAAAGCAAATATTTATTCTTTTAAAAACAATCTTTGTGTGAGTGTAATATTCTTATTTTATCTGGGTGGGGGTTTTCCTTTTTAAACTCATCTCACTTAGCGTGTGTTAGCACGCGCATGTGCGTCTGTATATAATGTTTCAGTCATGTTGAATCTTTTTGAGGCCTGTTGAATAAAAAAGTAAACCTGATGACCAAATCTCTTAAGCTGTTAAAGAAAAGCAAAAGGCAAATTTCTATACATAAGTCCATTAATACGATCAAAACCTAAGGATGGAAACATTTATTTTTGACAACTAATTTTTTTTCAACATAATCTCCGTTTTTTTTTTTGTCAATGCACTTAACCTGATATTATGTGAATAGTAATCACATAAATTGAACATTATACAGTGAGAATTTCAGATCAAAATTCAGCTAATATGTAAGGCTACTGACTTTTCTTTTCTTTTCTTTTTTTTTTTTTTTCTTGTCCATCTGTGTGAAATTCTGGGTATTTCTAACTTGAGATTTTATAATCTGTTAAGAAAAATGCATGTGCATAATGATTGTGTAAAAGGTTTTCTCTTTCCTATTTAGCTTCTCTGGGAGAAAGTTAAGAACTATTGAAGTTTTCATAAGGAGGCTTAATTTGGGAAAATGGTTTTCATATCCCCCCCAAATATGAGAATAATAACTAAAGGGTGGGGAGGTTGTGATCATTTGATGGCACTTGCAATAAATATCAAAAATAAAAGGTAGAAATTCTTGACAGAAAAAAAAAAAAAAAAAAAAATGAAATAAAATTGACCAAAGAAAAATGTCTATTGTATATGTTGAGGATATATTTTCAACAGAACCACATTTATCATTCATATTACAATCAATTTCTCTTTGGGCATTTTATTTTATTTAGCAGCCAGAGATGCAACCTTTTTTCTGATAGTTCAGAAAAAAAATTAAAGTTTGAGATTTTAAATCTTCAGTGAGGGGGGGGGACCAGATAAAAAAATAAAGAAGTTAATGCTTATATTAGAGACAAAAGAAAAGTCAGTATCTTTTGTCTGCTTACCTTTTTTTTTTTTTTTTTTTTTTTTTTTTTTTTTTTTTTGTTTTGGAAGGTGGATGCAAAAAGCATTTTCTGCAGAAAGACATCTGCATCAAAGGAAGCCAAGGTTACTTCTTTCTGTTACAAAAGATATCGGAGTCTAAAACCATGGTTTGATTTATTGCCATTCAAATGAGTACGCAGTTTGATCTTTGATAACCCATACAGTTTATTGATAAACTGCTTGTGGACAATTGTTTGTAAGTAACCAATAATCTAAAATGCCAAATACAAAGTGGAGTTAAAAAAAAAAAAAAAAAAAGTACCATAATTGGAACAATTGTGGAATGTAGACAAGGTGACCTTATGGATAGTCTAGTCACACTGAGGTTTGCTGAATACCTATCTCTCTGTTGCTATTCGTGTTTCTTTGTTCTGAGCAGAAAGGAACTTTCACATTCCTATCCCTTCATCTTTTGACCAGATATTTTTGCATATGTATATTTACTAATTTCACTCTTAATTGGTCTTCAAATTTGATAATCAAGTTTGTTTTAGGCTGAGACTGAAACATTGTAACTGTATCCAACAGAAAACGGATTATTTACAGAAAATATTAACTGATATTTTCTTATCGTATTTCGGTTGGCCTTTGCAGATGATGAGCCTAACGTTGTGTGACTGAACTCTATTTTTTAAAAAAAAATTTTTGATGTTGTTTCCTCCAATTAGATAATTCTACATTCTATAGCCCCCTCCCTTTTTTTTTTTTTCTTTTTATGTATGATCTGTAGGGAAATACCCCCCTCCTAACAAGAAAATGGCAAGAAATTAAAATAGTAAATATACTATCCAGATAGGTTTGTTTCAGCCGTGCACAATACAGACAATGTGATTCTCCAGCACCCACATAATTTGGGTGAATTTTAATTTATACACAGGTTTTCTTGAACCCTTTCTTTGCTGAACAAAGAAAACTATCCCGTGCTAAAATCCATGCTAGCTTAACTTAAGCAACCAGCTGCTATCTGCCAACTCTCTAGCATCCTGTCACCTAATCCCAAAGAGGCTGTATGGCCTTGTCCTGCCAAACTAGATTTTTTTTTTTTTTTTTACACTTCTCCTTTTGGCCATAGCTTTCTTGTATTCTGTGAGTGTCTTTAGTGGGAGCAGCTGGTTTGTCACAATTGCATCAAGGACATTATAAATTCAATCATTTGTCAACACTTTTCTTTGTTTAGCAGTGAGATGGTTGGGAAATACTGTTGTGTCCTGTATATAGATTTAACGTTCATAAATAATATGATTTGTGAGTTTTGCATTATTTGAACAGATCCATGTGGTTAGTATATAAAGATAATTTTCTCTTAACATCTCAGGAACCAAAAACAAAGACTTTACAGATTGTATTCCCATAGAAAGGATTGGCTGAAAACTTGTAAGACCGACAATACAAGAGTTAAAATCTCAGACTGATTCTTCTCATGGACAATGTAACTGGCATCAAGCAAAAAAAAAAAAAAACAGGAAATAACCCCTTGGCTCGTGTGTGTACAGTTTTATTTTTAACTTAGGATTTTCTCTCTTCCCCCACTATATAAAAATTTCACCATCAAATGATTAACTTTTACCTGTTTAAAGCATTTTCTAAATTCTTTTGATCTCTAAATAAACTTCATTCCCATTTTTATCTTCATCTGTATATAATGCATAAGGAATTGTTAATGTCATTTCATTAGTAAACATTTGCTTGCAATTGCCGCTTCCTTGTATATTTCTCTTGTGAATAAACATTCTAAATTTAACAAATAAGGGAGGAACACTTTTACACGCCAACGTAATTTTTGCTTTCTTTACAATCTTCGTTAGGTAATTTCTAATAATTCTTGAAGCTGATTATTATTCACCTTGATTGCAGGTGAGACAATGAGTCTGATCCTCATTGAGTTAAAATGAACCAAAATTTGAGAATGAAACTAAATGGAGTGGGGAGAAGCTCATTTTGTTTTTTGTGTTTTAAAAACACTGCATTTTAGAAGAAAGTATTGCATGCATGTGTGTGTGTATATATATATATATATATATATAATATACACTTCAGAAAGGATAAAATGATTCAGTTAAAAGTAATATATTATTCAAACATTATTTTTAGTGAATGCTCATATATATAAATAGATATTCTGTTTATTTTAAACAGTATTTATTACATCTATCGACCTGTGTACTGGAAAAAACCTTAAAGAAACTGCCCTCTGACAGGATTTGAATCTGTTCCCCCTTTAAAGAGGAAACCAGCATACTTTTACTGCTCAGTTATGAGGAGCTTCACAAAGCCAAATTCTATTCTGCCTTTTAAGCACATCAACTCCTTCAATTTTCTTGAGTACACGAACTGGTAGACAAAATAAATGCTGTTTAAAATAAACAGACCATCTACTCGGATATGGGTATCCAATAAAAAAAAAAATGTTTGAAGTAACAAAAATATCAGATTGAAAATTATTTTAAAAATCCATTAATTCATTATATATAATCTACAAGCATAAAGAGTTACATAAACTGGGCATAGAAAATTATTTTTAAAATTTATCTCGTATGTAGTCAAATTTCAAATGCCATTCACATATGTTTTCAGTAAGGCTAAACAATTCTTATTTAACAATGATGAATGAGCAAAGAGAGAAGACATTTGGCTCATAAGCAGAGGTTAATCATTTCTGAAATGTAATCAGTCTTAAGAACTGGCTAAACTTCCTTTAAAAACAAAACTATAAACATGTGTCAGGAGGGTGGCCCAAAAGTTACTTCACTGTAATCATTGGTGGAACTTGTTGCCAAGTATTGGGGGTGCTCATCGGCATTTCCTTCTGTATGAAATGAGTCCAATGTTGGATCTGAAGAGACGTCCACACAATAGATTAGGAGGGTTCAGGGAAGAGAGAGGGTCTGACTTTTCTTTGGGTTCCCTTTGCTGCATCTATTTGTCTTGTTTTCAAAGGATGTAGGTTTTTCGTGAACTATCTTCCAATTGACTGGATCGATTTCTGTCATCAGCTAGGTATTTTTGAGCTGAACCTTCAGTTGACAACATGGTCTCTTGCAAAATGCAATCTCAAAGAAGAGGATTTGTTAGGGTAGGCAAATGTCTGGCATTCATGCAACGTGACC